GTTATCACCTTCTTCTAATTCAGGAGAATAATGCAAACTAAAACTACATAATAATTCACAATCTTTAGTTAGGGGTCTAACATGGCATAAAATAATATTATAATCCGACACTACTGAACAACATGCAGTACTTAAAGTATTATTTCATTGCTGTGGAAAGTTAGTGACTGTGTCAGCTAACATCTGCAAGTTAAAAATATGTTTTTGTCTGTTAATGTTATGTAAAGTATTGTCACAGACGAGTGAGAGCTGCGTGTCCGTGCCATTCTTTCACTTCTCCTCACCATTTCCCCTGTTTTAGGGCACAACATTGGTCTGTTTCCTCTCTAATCATTCTGACAGTTTTATAGGACAGTCCTTCATTTCACAACTGTGCTCCAAAGCTGAATTTGTCACTATCATGCAGTCAGTTTATGTGCTTTACATCCCTCATGTCAATCACCATATTTGTGCCTCACGGGGAAATTGAGGGTCAGGTGTTTGTCAGAGAGGTGAAGGACAAAGAGAAAGCTAAGAAACAGTATAAGAAGGCTGTTTCCTCTGGACAGACTGCTGGACTCATCAAGTGAGTCATCCAAATGAACCAGAAAGACAGATTGTACAAATTAACTGGAGCTGTGCGATAGTCTTTTTGTTGTTGTTGTTGTTGTTGTTGTTGTGTTTTTACTTTTTTTTTATTTGTTTTTATTTGGTTACAGGGCTTCTGGAAGTTTTCAGTCTCTGTCAATATGGTTGGGGAAGCCTGCAGTCAGCTGAGACTTAAGAAGTCACTTGGATGAGTGATGAAACATTTCTCCCACTGAAAACGTTACGTCCAGATGAACAGAATCAACTTTTTCAGATTTCTTTCTTGATCTTGAAACCATGGGTGTCGATTTTATTGCCACTTTGCTAAGTGTTTAAATAAGTATCGATTGGATTCACTCCCCCAAACTTCCACAAACTAGCAAATATTATCTTTGTGGTTCACAGCACCTCACAGCCTCTTGGACACTGAGCTCAGGGAGCTGGTCAATATAGGAAAACACACAGATACGTGTCCCTCCCACAGGGCACTGAGAGTTTTGCTCTGCACTGAAGTCAGCCAGTGTTCAGTCAGAGTTTGGTCATGTCTGGACTGTTGGGTGTTCGCCTGCTGCTGCTGTGGGGCTGCGCCTGCCTCTGGCTGAGCAGCTCAGCCTCGGGAGCTCTGGTCATCTCCAGGCACGATGAAGCCATACAGGTAACATCAACCACTTTTGTGATATGAAACTGAAATAACATTTTGGTATGATTTTGACGGCGTTGTCCTCAAAAAGTAGTCCTGCGATTTAATTTAAAACAAGAAAGCAAAACTTAATCACAAACTGTGTCTGAGCTTTTTCTTACAACTTACTTCATGTATTCTCCATAATATCCTGTGTGTGTATTTCAGAAAAGAAGAGGAGCTGCCAGATCACTGCAGGTACTTGGCAAACGATTCAGATTAAAAAATAACAAGGCAGCACTAAGATCTACATTTCCATCGTATATTTATGTATTTGTCAGTTTACCAGTAGATATGTCTTAAAAAATGGTGTGATCTGTGTTATGTTGAAGTTGAGCTGATATGACGCAGTACCAGAAACTGCAGTTTAACAGTGATTTAAACCTAATGAGGTGTTTTCACTAAGACAAAGAGACTATGTGTGAACTGAATCTATCGCCCTTTTTTCTTACAGAAAAGAAGTACAAATGAAGCAATGGTAAGAAATGTATCCATTCATATTCCTGGTGATGATAATGGTGATGGGAGATAATTGATTTAATTCAGATTAACAGATCAGATTCATGGAGAGAAACCTGCTTGTTCTCGATGGGATGTGTGGATAAGCTCACAGGGACCTGAAGTGATGGCTGCCAAAAAAACTATGTGATCAAAGTGTAGTGTCTGAGCTGCTGATTAATCTGCAAAGATTTCTCCTGTCTTCTATTACTTTCCTCCAAATGAGCAAACTCATTATAACAGCCTCTCATTAGGGCTGTGCGATATGACCAAAATCTCATATCCCGATATAAGAATTCTATCGTCCAGATAACGATATAAATCACAAAAATTTAACATTTTCTGTAAATTCTGTGAATCTCGGGCAGCT